CAACATTCCCTCTGTCCTCAACTCTGAAAAACAAAGCTCCTTTCAGAGTTGGGGGGCCAGATGGTGCCCCGACTGCCTCCCACTGCCACCCCCATGTGGCCTGTGTTCTCATCTCTGCTTCTGTTAGTTTCATGACTTTCTTGGGCAGGCACACTCATGGGCAACATGCATGATTACATTACACTTGAGATAAGTACTGCAGTTGTTGCCATTCTCCCCAGTGGAGGAACTGGGCATGGAGTGGTAAGGGGCTCGCCCACAGTCAACAGGCGGGTGGGGGAACAGGGGGAGGGGTCCCATTAGTCTGGTTCCCGACTCCTGATACGGAGAAAGCAGTGTGGGCTTCAGAGCTGCGGAGACCTGGACTAGGATTTCCTTTGGGCTACGTGCCATTGCTGTGTGGTGACAAGCAAGTGACTGACACTCTCTGAGCCTCCATTCCCATCTCTGTACAACACGCTGTGTAAGTTCAAGGGAGAGAAACCGTGAAGATGCCGGGCTCCTAACAGGTGTTGCAGTGGCGTTTCTCCTCCCATACGCCCCCTGCTGTCTGAAACTACCCACCAGGCCAGAGCTGCGACCGCACAGGGGGAAGGGGATGGAGCTATTGCAGGAAAGACAGGAAAACATTTAAAGAAGAATTAATATGTAATACGTATTCTTCTGAAACTGTTCCAAAAAATAGAAATGGAAGGAAAACTTCCAAACTCGTATTATGAGGCCTCCATTACCTTGATCCCAAAACCAGACAAGGACCCCATCAAAAAGGAGAATGACAGACCAGTATCCTTGATGAACATGGATGCAAAAATTCTCACCAAAATACTAGCCATTAGGATCCAACATTGCATTAAAAGGATTATTCACCACGACCAAGTGGGATTTATCCCTGGGCTGTAAGATTGGTTCAACATCCACAAATCAATCAATGTGATACAATACATTAATAAATGAAAGAATAAAAACCATATGAGCCTCTCAATAGATGCAGAAAAAGCATTTGACAAAGTACAGCATCCTTCCTTGATCAAAACTCTACAGAGTATAGGGATAGAGGGTACATACCTGAATATCATAAAAGCCATCTACAAAAAACCCACAGCGAATATCATTCTCAATGGGGAAAAACTGAGAGCATTCCCCCTAAGGTCAGGAATATGGCAGGGATGTCCACTCTCACCAATGCTATTCAACATAATATTAGAAGTCCTAGCCAGAGCAATCAGACAACAAAAAGAAATAAAAGGCATTGAAATTGGCAAAGAAGAAGTCAAAATCTCACTCTTTGCAGATGATATGATTCTTTACGTGGAAAACCCAAAGGACTCCACCCCAAAACTGCTAGAACTCATACAGGAGTTCAGTAAAGTGGCAGGATATAAAATCAATGTACAGAAATCAGTGGCATTCCTATACTACAACAACAAGACAGAAGAAAGAGTATTTAAGGAGTCAATCCCATTTACAATTGCACCCCAAAACATAAGATCAGTAGGAATAAGTCTAACCAAAGAGGCAAAGAATCTGTGCTCAGAAAACTATAAAATATTCATTAAAGAAATTGAAGAAGATACAAAGAAATGCAAAAATGTTCCATGCTCATGGATTGGAAGAAAAATATGGCGAAGATGTCAATGATACCTAGAGCAATCTACACATTCAATGCAATCCCTATCAAAATACCATCCACTTTTTTCAAAGAAATGGAACAAACAATCCTAAAATTTGTATGGAACCAGAAGAGACCCCGCATAGCCAGAGGAATATTGAAAAAGAAAAGCAAAGATGAAGAGAGATAAAAAGGGGGATTAGTTTTATTCCATAAAATAATAGCCAAAAAGTTCCCTACTATGCAGAAGGACACAGACATCAAAATCGAAGTAGTACAGAGAACACCCATTAAATTCAACAAAAGCCCACTATCTCCAAGGTATATCATAGTCAAACTCACAAAATACAACACAGTAAAGGTAAGAATCCTGGACGGGCCAAGGGAACAAATGTGCCTAACCTCAGGGCTTTCAGTACAATACAATTTTGTAAGGTGATGCTCAGACTCAAAACCCACAGAGTCATCTCATCCACATCTTTTGGAAGATTGAAAAAACAGCATCCTTAAATTAAAGTTCCACCAACTCTAGGAAACCTTGAGTCCCTCATGGCAAGCTTCTCCTTCTGTGTGTCCACTGTGTCTTTTCACAGAGCCCTAGGAGAATCAGCTGTTTAGTCCTATCTGCAGGAGGGAACATGTGAGAAATCCACGCTTGAACCTCACTGAAGGAGCTTATCAGGTACTTTTCACAACAAATGCAGGAGGGACACACCAGAGCATCAGTGCTTGGGTTCATGTGTCACTAATGTCTCAGTCTGTTCCAGCTGCTGTAACAATGTACATGGACTGGGTGGTTTTAAACAAGACAGTCATTTCTCACAGTTCTGGATTCTGGGAAGTCCCAGGTCAAGGTGCATACAGATTTGGTGTCCAGAGAGCACCCACATCCTAGTGTGTCCTTTCCCTGTCACCTCACATGGGCTCAGGGGGCAGGGAGCTTTCCCAGTCCTGCTGTATAAGAACATTAATCTTGTCATGAGGCTGCACCCTCCTGACCTAAGTGCTTCCCTAAGGCCCCACCTCCTCCTCCCATCACATTGTCATTAGTTTCAACATGGGGATGGGAGAGGTCATACACACTGACCTGATATCAGCAACTGAAAGATCAGTTACTTAGTCCCTGCAGGTGGAAGGCTCCTCCCATCCAGAAGCTCAACCTGAGGATTCTCATGGATCCAGTAGAAGCTTCTGGTCTCTGCATGCACACAGCAAACATAAGACCTTCAGAACCAGCTGGTGACCTTGGGGCGTGGACAGCTTCCACTGCAGATATTGGGTAGAACTCGGTTTACTTCTATCATTATCTTTTTACTTGTGAGGTTTCCATGGATTATTCTTCTAATTTTCCAAGGATTCATACCATTTTCTACTTAAAATGGCTATTTCTTTCTTTTGTTCTTGCCGTTTTCATATTGTTTAGTAGAATTTGTCACCACATGATATCTTTGGATTATTGCTGACTTGCTTGTTGACCTTCATTCCTCTCTCTTCTCCTCCTGCCTCACACATGGGAAATCCAACAGGAACCCACGGGTTCTCCCTCCTTTGATGCAGGTAGGACATTGACTCCACACAAGTCCCTCCCATGAGCAGGACTCCCTCCCCACCACTGACCCGCAGCACACACCCTGAGCCAGTGTCCTACCCTGGTTCTATCCAGGCAGTTATGACTTGCTGAAAGGTCTGACCTGTTCTCAATAGACACAATGGTGAAGAAGGTGATAAAGGTTTCCGTATGTGTGTGTGTGTGTGCTCGCGCATGTGTCACTCTGTGTGTATGTGTGTGTCCATGGTCATTAGAGTCCACATGCACACGACACGCTGAAGGAGGATTCACTGCTTTCTCATGCTGTCACTAACATGGCTGTGTGCATGGTTCAAGACAGTGACTGCCACCATGGATCCTTCCTCTTTTGTTTTGGATTGTTGATGGCTCTGTAGCCTCATGTCCAGCATGCACTTTATGCTGCTTCTAACAAGCTTGCATGTTGAGCTGTGTGGTTCTGTGATGCAAAGTGCATAAAGCTGGGAATCCAGAAAGGAAAAGTTAAATTACATAGAGATATTTGTAATTTATTGGCATTTAGGGACAATAGTCAGCAAACCTAAGCAACTCTGTCTTTTGTGCATATTACAAGATGATTGCCTACAAAAAAAGTTTCTAAATCAGTCTCTGAATAACTATGCACAGAATCAAGTGCTCAGAGAGGCTCCCTGGTGGAAACTGCTGTATATGTAGAGCAAGCCCCAGACCCTGACAGAAACCCTGTTCATAATATATATCTGCATTTGTTCCTGGGCCTTAAAGGCAGAATTGGTGAGGAGTGTGCACCCCCTGGTGCTCTAGATCCCATTCTACAGTGAAGACTGTGTCTGGACTCACAATGATGTCCCCTCATTGTGTCACTTGCAAAGTCATACACGGCCGTGTCCTCAATTCTCAGGCTGTGCATCTGCAGATACAGTGTGTTCTTGGTGTTGTCATTGGAGATGGAGAATCGGCCCTTCATAGAGTCTGCATAGTATGTGCTACTTTCATATCTAATAACTGAGACTCATTGCTACTCCTTCCCTGGAGCCTGGCAGACCCAGCTCATGGCATTACTACTGAAGGTGAATCCAGGGGCTGCTCAGGAGAGTCTCAGGGACCCCTAAATTTCACCAGGTCTCCCCCAGTCTCCACCAGCTGCACCTCACAATGGACACCGGCAGACACAAGATATCATGGTCAGGAAACTTCTCCACACCCACTGTTTCTCTCCTTTATATCCACTCACAAACTCAATCATTTTTGTCCTCCATGAATTACCTTTAAAAGAACATCAAGGAAAACTGAGGTCAGCCTAAACTCCATGGTGAGTTGTCTGTGTTCTGTCCTGATCAGTGAATGGGAACACCTGGGTTTCCCAAGGCTGGGGCTCCTGTCCCTGTTTTAATCAGCAGAAGGAGGACCCTATTTGCATGCCCTCACATGGGATCAGGGGGCAAGGAGCTTTCCCATTCCTGGTTTATAAGGGTACTAATCCCATCAAGAGACTGCAGCCTCCGGAGCTTTGTGCTTCCCTAAGCCCCGACCTCCTCCTCCCATCACATTGGCCTTAAGTTTCAACATGGGGATGGTAGAGGCCATACATGTTGAGCTGATATCAGCAACCGGAGGATCAATTAGTTATTCCCTGCAGGTGGAAGGCTCCTCCCATCCAGAACCTCAACATGAGGACTCTCATGGATCCAACTGAAACTTCTGTTCTTCACATGCACACAGTGAACACAGAACCTTCGGTACCAGCTGGTGACTTTGTGGAGTGGACAAATTCCACCTAAGACACTGGGTAAGATATCAGTCCACTTCAATTATCATTTCATAATGTGTGCTGCTTCCCTGTAAGCAATCTCATTTTCCTAGGATTCAGACCTTTGTCTACGTGGAATGGCCATTTGTCTCTTTTGTTCTCCAAGTTTTCATATTGTTTAGTGGAATTAGTTATCATACTCTATTCCTTGATTATTGCCTGCTAGCTCCTTGAAATTCTTTCCTCTCTCTTCCCCACCCAACCCACACATGGGAAATCTAACAAGAACCCGTGCGTTCTCCCTCCTTTGATGCAGGTAAGACATTGACTCCACACACGCTCCTCCCATAGTGAGGATGATGAAAGTTTTATAATCAGTGTGTGTGTGTGTGTGTGTGTGTGTGTGTGTGTGTGTGTTTGTGATCTTCAGAGTCCACATCCACACCATGTCCTGGTGGGTTTTCCTCTGCTTTGCCAGCCTGTCAATAATATTGATGCTGTGAGCACGATTTAAGAGAGTGACCAGACCAGGGTTCTTCCTTCTCTTGCTTGGGGGAAAAAGCTATAATTAGATAGAAAGCCCCAGAACCTGAGAGGAAACCTGCCCATAACCACCATCTGCACCTGCACCGGTGCCTGAAAGACAGAATGGCTGAGTATTGTGTACTCTCTGGTGGTCCAGATCCCCTTCTACAGTGAGGTTTGTGTCTGGGCTCACACTGACGTCCCCTCACTGTGTCTCTTGCACAGTAATACATGGCCGTGTCCTCGGCTCTCAGGCTGTTCATCTGCAGACACAGCGTGTTCTTGCCGTTGTCTCTGGAGATGGTGAGTCGACCCTTCCCAGAATCTGCCTAGCTTGTGCTACTTCCATCATACCTATCCATGCGACCCACTACAGCCTCCTGCCCGGAGCCTGGCAGACTCAGTGCATGTAGTAGCTGCTGAAAGTGAATCCAGAGGCTGCACAGGAGAGTGTCAGGGACCCCCAGGCTTCACCTGGTCTCCCCCAGACTCCACCAGCTGCACCTCAGACTGGACACCTGCAGACACAAGACATCCTGGTCAGGATAATGTCACACATCCCCTGTTTCTCTCACTCATATCCACTCACATACTCAAGGTCTCTTATTCTCTGTAAATTACCTTTTAAAACAGCAACAAGGAAAACCCAGGTCAGCCTAAACTCCATGGTGAGTTGTCTGCGTTCTGTCCTGATCAGTGAATGGGAACACCTGGGAATCCCGAGGCTGGGGCTCTTCTCTCCCCTGCAGGGTGTGGTTTGGCTGATTTAATCAGTAGAGGGAGGGCCTTATTTGCATATCCCCTGAGTGTAGAGCCAGCTTGAGATCTATGTTGACCGAGATGTCAGTGATGAGAGCAGGTGTGACTGCTGTGATTTTGTGGTTTGACAGCATTTGGAAAAATATGATTTTTTATTATATCATTTTCCAGAGCACAAAGTTAGCCTCCATATGTTATCTTTCTTTACACATGCACAGAAATCTTGAGGTGTAGGTTTCATGTCAGCCCAGTAAGAGATGCGAACCTACACCCAGAATTTTAGAGGGTTTATAAGGTGTCCAAGAGCATAAATGGGGCGAGAGTGACCCCAGTATCTGTTCTGTGCTCATCTGCACAAGACATATTTCTCCCCTGAACCACCTGCAGAACAGAGTGGGCAGGATCATGAGTAATGTGGAACTCCTCCTGTAATGGGGACAGGATGATTTTGCTTGTTCTCGAGTTTACCTGAAATACAGAGAGAATCAGGGTTCATGCAGCTGTATTTTCTAGTCTCTAACATTTCACTATCTCTGCATTCTGCCAGAGTCATCTCTGTGATTCTCTTTAATGGCTTTGATGAGTCTATTTGATACAGGATGAACTGAATGCATGAAGAGTCTGTGATATGATAAATGCATGTGTCAGAATCAACATTATCCAGAGTGAGCAAATCAATTCTCCCTACAATTTCCTGTTTTTCTCCTAGCATGCTTCCTTCTAATCGTCCCTTCTTCACTGTCCCCACATAACTATTGATCTTTCTCATGTTACCTTAGATTAGCTTTAATTTTCTAGAATATATAAATCTGTAATTGTATTAAATATACTTTCATTTCCTTAAGCAAATCCTTGACAATACCACTGTGTTTCTGTTTGTAGCACAAATCATAGTTGTTAATGATGGGCAGGTTTCCAAAATGACATTGAGCACAATATGTCCATTCCTAAGCTGACGATTGGGCTTGGGATTGTTTGCATGTTTCTGTATGTCAATAAAGTCATGCCTCAGATTGGAGTTGCAAGAACTAAGAAAATAAATATGACAAGCTGCAGATCAGCAAATTTGAATCAATATATTCGATGATTGTGGTCATTAGACAAACAATAAACTTAAACACTGGTTAGAGAAAAGTGCTCACAGGGGGACTAAGAACCAGCACCTTAGCATATTGCGAACACAGACCCCTATGAGAAACTATCACCAGATTTAGCTAGAATATGCAATGGATTTCTTGACATCAAGTGCGCTAAAGGTGGTATAGTGTGAAGTTCTCCAGGACTACATCACTAAACTGATACTGTCCTCATGCATCCCTTTCCTGTAGGATAGGGACAAATCACAAATCACCACCCAGCCCCCCCTGGTGGTCCTGGCAGGATGGGAGGAAGATGACTCAGAGCAGGAATGCATGGAGACCCACACCCCCATGTCCACCACAGAGATAAAGAATTTATCTGCAGAGGAAGCCCCTCAGAATTAGCATCCTGTGGTCACAGGTGGAACCCCATAGGATCTGGGAGAGGAACAGACGTCACCACCAGGGTTCAGTTGAGGACCACACACCCTTTTCACATGGAATGAAAGCTTTAATCTCCAGGGAAAGGTAGGAAAACAGGAAGTTGCGGACACCCAGGGACAACTGGAGTTGCAGGAGGGAACAACGGAGAAGAACAGAAATGACTGTGTACCCGAGATGGGCAAGAATACCCGGACTTGGACTGCTGGTGGAGGAGGGGCAGGGACAGGAGCAGGCCTCTCCCAGAGCCAGATTCCCGGTGAGCACCTGAGGAGAAGGCTCGGGCAGCAAGTCAGAGCATCCTTGTGGCCCCACCCCTTCCACCACATTAACGATTGTCACCTGAGTGGAGCAGTGGAGTGCACTGGAGAGAGTGGAAGTAGACTCTACATGGGAGAGCCCAAGGAGATCACAATGCCGATCAGGGAACAGAAACAGGGGATCACTGGAGGAACCTGAACTCTCTCGTGGCCACAGCAGAGACACACTTCACGGCTGCTACCCAGGCAACCCCAGCTTTCCAGTGGAGCCAGGAAGAGACACACACCCCACAGCATAGGCCTCGAAAAGACAGGGTGTGATCATCTACAGGAGGAAACAGAAAGCACTAAAACATAATAATGATTTAATACCAACTGTCCTATGCAAGTTAGACATTCGTCCACCCTCCACAAGCCCAGGGGTTCCACACTGTTAGGGAACATCTCTGCTCCTACCTCGTCTATCCTCTCATGTTTCAAGACCTGGGTGTGCAAGTTTGGGGACAGCAGCTACCAGTACACATCATGTTGAAATTTGTCAAAGCTGCTCAGTCCACTGCTTCTGTTAAGTCAGAGCTCCCCCTTGGCTCACTTATCCTGAGTAGACTCTTCCTTCCAATCGTCCCTTCTTCACTGTCCCCACATAACTATTGATCTTTCTCATGTTACCTTGGATTAGCTTTAATTTTCTAGAATATATAATTCTGTAGTTGTATTAGATGTACTTT